CCTAAACAGTGTAAAATATGGGAAAAAATTTTTCACGAAAATTAATTGTCACGCACAACGAGTCTGTGTGCAAAATGTCAGCTCGATTGGATCACGGGAAGTGGGTTAAAAACGACTGAAAGATTTGCACGGTCCTAAGCAAGCAAGCAAGTGAACTTAATATAAAGGATTTAAAAAATTAACCCGTAAAAACAAAGTTTTTCACTATAAATCCTTTATATGCGTGGTGGCTAGAGTCCTCTCGTCCTCTGGCTTGAGATGGCTGCCACCTATGGGTCAGATGATTGCCTGCTACCATTAATTAAATAAAAAAAATATTTTCCTAAAAAGTGTAAAGTTATGGAAAAAAATTTTCACGAAAATAAATTGTCACGCACAACGAGTCTGTGTGCAAAATGTGAGCTCGATTGGATCACGGGAAGTGGGTTAAAAAACGACCGAAAGATTTGCACGGTCCTAAGCAAGCAAGCAAGTGAACTTAATATAAAGGATTAAAAAAATTAACCCGTAAAAACAAAGTTTTTCACTATAAATCCTTTATATGCGTGGCGGCTAGAGTCCTCTCGTCCTCTGGCTTGAGATGGCTGCCACCTATGGGTCAGATGATTGCCTGCTACCATTAATTAAATATAAAAAATATTTTCCTAAAAAGTGTAAAGTTATGGAAAAAAAATTTCACGAAAATAAATTGTCACGCACAACGAGTCTGTGTGCAAAATGTCAGCTCGATTGGATCACGCTAAGTGGGTTAAAAAACGACCGAAAGATTGGCACGGTCGTAAGCACGCAAGCAAGCAAGCAAGTGAACTTAATATAAAGGATTAAAAAGGCAGCTCCAACTAACTCGCCTTCGCCTTAAATGGACTTGCTCCTTCCTACATCCATGACCTTCAGCCACGAATATTCCATCAAGATCGTCAAGATCCTCAGCTTGTGCATTGCTCACCGTTCCACCGTCTCCAGGCTACACACGTGGAGGTGAGTTGGCAATTATGGCACCTACACTCTGGAACTCGTTGCCCTTCGAGGTCAAGGGGACTTCCGAGACACTGCTCATCTTCACATCTCCACTGCTCATCTTCACATCTCCACTAAAGCCTTATCTGTTTAAAATGTCTTTCTCCCTTTAGTGATGTTCAAATCTCCTTCTCACTTCTTTCCTTGGGTGATGTTCACTATTTTCTGACTTACCATGCATAGCACCCCGAGAGCGATTGTTTAAGGGCGCATTGTAAATGTTAAGTATATTACCATTACTGAATGATTATGTAAAAAGTAGAAATGCATTATTTAATTATTAAAATGCTATTCTTGTATTATTAGCGTCAAAGTATTATAGCACGAGCATTAATTTATTATTTAATTATTATTTAGGTGTCAGTATTTCACAGTTATTAAATTTTAATAAGTTATAATACATACAAAATAGCTAAATCATTATTTTATTATTATCCATTTCCAGTTACATAATTAAATTATTATAATTATTATTATAACATTATACTACTTAAATTATTATTACTTGACGGTCACGCCAGTTGGTTCAGGGCACGGGGTCGGCAACCTGCAGCTCCGTAGCAGCGTGCGGCTCTTTGAGGGACGGCTGCTTCGTGAGACGTTGTTATTTATCAAGAACCACCACCACCGTCTCTCGTACTCACACCACGTTCTTATTTATCAAGGACCACCACCAGCACCGTCTCTCGTACTCACACCACGTTCTTATTTATCAAGGACCACCACCAGCACCGTCTCTCGTACTCACACCACGTTCTTATTTATCAAGGACCACCACCGTCTCGTACTCACACCACGTTTTTATTTATCAACGACCACCACCGTCTCTCGTACTCACACCACGTTTTTACTTATCAACGACCACCACTACCGTGTCTCGTACTCACACCACGTTGCATTGCGGCTCTTGAAATAATGAGTTGGTTGGATTCTATTTTACTTACCGAATTGTAAAAAATTAGAAAAAATGTCTCTCCTTGTTGTTTTGGTTTTTGAACCCCCTGGTTTAAACCTTGAATACGAACTGACAGCGGTGTGGTTTGCTGGGCAAAACGCACAGCCTCACCCTAGCCATCATGTTTTTTTTATTATTGTTACACGGTTTTATTTAACTCACTCTTGTCGTATCCTCAAATCTTTAACTCAATTTTAACCCACTTTACATGTTATGTTTCGGCTTGGGTCTAATTGTCCACGCTCAACTGACGTTGGCTGTAAATCACCACGGTCCCTTACGTTGTGGCAAGCTTCGGGGTCACTTCCTGGAGTCGTCGAGTTCTGCCATTCCGAGTATGGTACAATTTCGATTTAAAGCTTTCGTGACTGCAGGGATTCATCTTCTTGGTTCTTTCGGTAAAGTCACGTAGAAGGGAAATAATAAAATATTAAAAATAAAACATAACAAAATAATTCTCACGACGTTTCGGCCACAACGCAAGCAGCCGAGGCGACAGCGTCAGACACTGTAATGTTTTATTTTTTTATTATTTTATTACTTCCCTTCTACGTGACTTTACCGAAAGAACCAAGAAGAGTATGGTACATTTCATTAAAGCGTGTTTTAAAAAAAAATATTTTTAAATATTACTTATTTTGTTTACGTGACAAATTTACACGGTGAGGTTTACAGTGAAAAAACACAGCCTCACCCAAGCCGGTGTAACCAGTTTATAGGACAAATCATCACTGTTTTCATGGTTACCGTGGGGTTTTTGTAAAAATATATCAATTGCGACTCTTTAACCTTGACACTGTGTGTGTGAATGTGACGCCACGTCTACACAGGTGAGTACGGGCTGCTGCGTGCAACATTCCAGGGCGCGTCTCGTGGTGTTTATAATTTAGCTGCAGGTGAAGTCAGCTCGTTTCCTTGTTCGTTGTAGCTGCTCTGTGATTTATTTTTCATCTCGCTGCGGTGGCTGGAAGATGTTAACTACCTCGCCCGGTGTACAGGAGGTCGTGGGATCGATCCCGGCCCTGACGCCTGTACGTGTACTTGGAGTTTGCATTCTCTCTGCCTGTGGTCGCGTACATTTTTCTCCCAATCCTCCGATGATTCCCTTCACACTTAGAAAAGTGCATTTAGAGTGTTTGGCTGCTATAAATGTCCACGTAACTAGCCACGTCTGTGAGCTATCAATTGTGTCCAGGTCGCTTCTGAAAAGAGCTATATACCTCAGTGGGCCTTACCTGGTAAAATAAAAGTAGGTTTTATAGAATCGTCCAAACTCGGCGATTCCAGGATGTAAAATCTTAACATTAACAATGGATGATGAATATATATTGTTTAGGTTATGAAGATTTAAATCCTCGATTTTTTTAGGCATAATAGTAAAATGGACGGTGAAAGTCGTACAAGCTTAAATGAACCACGATGTTTGTTTAGCCAGAGGCTGTTCGCTGTTGTAAAGCGTGAGGCCACTCACCTAGGGACCCAACCACTAAACCGCACGCCCTCCCAGCCACTCTTCCTCCAGCCCTCTCACCACCTGCTCGCCCACCCTTCACGCCATCCTCCTGCCCATCTGTCTGCCTCTCACCAAATAACCCCCCCCCCTCCCACTTAACCTCCACCACCCACTCACTCGCACCTTCGATTTGCACGAATGGCTACGTACGCTGCAAAATATGTATAACATACATACTCACACACTCACCCACACACCCACTCACCCATTCACTCACCCACAAACTAAACCACACACCTTCGATTAGCACGGTTGACTACGTACGGTGTCAAAGAAGTTCAGCATACATATAACCATCATCCACTCAGAATAAAACTGTGTCGTAAGAATAAAAAACCTACAAAATTATTGACAGATGAACAGAGGATGCATGAAGCCAGTAATAATATTAGTTGGTAAAGATTTAACACGATTACAGACTGTGAAGCTTTAACAAACAGACCTTGCAAGAAAAAAATGGATAAAGACACAGTTGGGAAAAAACAAGTTCACCTTTACATCATAATGTCTGTACAAGGTGCGGTTCCACTGTGGCAATGCACACAGCCTGACCCTATGTTCGACGCACGACGGTCAAACCACGACTCTACAATGCTCACAGCTGGACTTTGGACAAATGAATCGCAGAACCAAACTCTGTATGCGTTTGTGTTCATGCCTGGCGTTGATAATGGGGCTTAAGCCATCAACTCGTTTCACCGGAGAACCGCGTTTAATTACAGGCGACTGCTTGGAATCGAAAGCCTGCATCTCAGGATGTGTTATTTTTACGATTGTGATCATGTTCTTACAAAGTCCATTGTTGGCACTGGTTAAAGCCAAAGGCGCGAATCTACAGGTACATCTAGACAGGTTTGTGTGATGCGGGGCTTGTTTTTACATTCCTTAAACATCTGAGCACATTCCATGGGGGTGGCTCGTGAGGTTTGTAACCCCGTGTAACGTAATTACAAATCCTTGTTTCTTGTCTGTGAGCCTTGATACAAAAAATATTGACCACTCATCATCTACACACTACTCACCATCCACACACACTACTCACCACTCACCATCCACACACACTACTAACCAGCTGCCATCCACAAGGGAGAACATCTCCCCCAGGAATAAACCCCTTTCACAGATTTCAGAAGGAGAGAATGAGACCTGTGGGACAAACCATTATCGCTGTGTCCCTGGCTGCTGCTGGGTTTTGTTTGTTCAAAAATTACATCACTTGAGACCAGTCAAAGCTATGTTGAACTTCTTTCCCATCGTACGGAGCCAACTGTGCTAATCGGAAGTGCAGGGGAAGGACAACAAAATAAACACAAAAAGCAATTTTAGCTAACAGTGCGTGAGTGTAACGCCACGTCTACACAGGTGAGCGTGGCCGCCGCGTGGAACATTCCAGGGCGTTTCTCAAGTTATTCATAACTAAACAACAGGTGAAGTCAGTTCATTTCCTTGCTTGTCTCTGCTGTGTGAGCTGCTCACAGCGTTTCCTGAACAGAGTACACACCTCATCAATGGTAATCAACATCTCACGATATTATAAAGAAAAAATATTTTTGTTGAAATATATTCTCTGAGCCACAGTGAGAAACTATTTTGGGTGCATCCTCGGGTCATGGCGAGCACAGCTCCCGCTGAGAACGTGGACCGTGAGTTGACCTGCTCCATCTGCCTGGACACGTTTGTCTGCCCCTCCACGCTGACCTGCGGCCACTCGTTCTGCCTCCAGTGCCTGGAGGATGCCTGGAAGGAGACAAACTCCTACTGCTGCCCGCAGTGCCGCAAGACTTTCCCTCGACGACCCCAGCTGACCAGGAACGTGACGATCGGCAACCTCATAGAGCAGCTGCAAGTGACTGAGACCATGGCTGCTGCTGCTGGTGTTGTTTTCTGTGACCACTGCCCAAATGGCAAGACGCTTGCAGTGAAGACTTGCCTCAAGTGTGACACATCCTTCTGCATGGAACACCTCGCGCCTCACCTGGAGAAGAAGAAGTTTAATGATCACGTCCTAGTTTCACCAGTTGTGAACCTTGAAGAACGCAAGTGCAGGAGGCACAAAGAGGAGCTCAAGTTCTACTGCAAGCAAGACCTCAGCCTCGTGTGCAGGGACTGCACCATCGCAGGAGACCACACGGGTCATAAGTTTATCACACTGGAGGATGAGCATCAGACACGGAAGGTGAGGCCCGCGTGGGTTGAGTTGGAGTCACTCAGGAGCGAACAGTACCTGAGCCCATAAGAGTGCTACAACAACATTTCATTTAATCAAAACCATCAGGGTGGGATGATTCTCCACGCTCTTTTTTTCTTTCAAGCTGAATTCTTTGGACTCTTTTCTGATGGGCAGTTATAGAACGATCACTGTGGAGGCCTCCGTGTGGAGTGGGGCTGAGAGGGAGCCACATAGGAAGTTGAGTCTCCTCTGGTGGCTTCGTCTCTTACAGAATGGAGTTGGAGCAGAGACGCGAGCGGTGGAGGAGAAGAGGAGGGAGGCGGAGGCGTCCGTGGGACGGATGAAGGCCGCTCGCAAGGACGTGCAGGTACCACGCGTGGACTCTGTGACCCTGTGACCTCCACCCTGCGTGGAGTCTGACTCTCGTCCTGTGAGAACAACTCCGTAGATTCAAGTAAATTTTGTTAGTCTTGAGTCATTGTGTAATAACTGCAGGATATTGCTTTATTATGGCTATGGGGACTTGAAATATAAATGTTAAAAAAATGCAACGTTTAAAAAAAGAATCATGAAAAAAATCATAGATTGCAAAGCACTTCGCAGGTAAACTCGAATAACTTGCAATGATTGAGATAAAATGACGCAGTATGGAGCAATGACTGCATTGAATTAGACGCTAGAAATTAAACGAGTGAAAATGAAGATGAAGTGACAGTAAATTGGCTGTTAAATGCTAGCATAAACACAAGAGACACGACTTCAAGAGAGTGCTGGGAATGCTGGAAAAATTATGTTCTCACGACACGCACCCAACTCTCAAGCAAACATAACAGAGTCTAACTATTGTCATTGTAGTGTGTATTTAATGTGGCGCTGCACTCTGGTGTTGTAGGAGAAAACATTAAAAAGTATATTTAATAAAGTAGAACGTGTTTATTTAAAGTTGCGCATTTTGATGTGACGTCACATTTCTCACCCCCTCCCCCCTCGTCACACATCGTCATAAATATCTGACCCCCCCCCCCAGGTGCGTGATGTGATTAACTCTTAGTGCCGTACATTTTATTGCTAAGGATAATTACGTAATTGTCTCTAATTTTGATATGTCTCCAACGATTTAGCGATGAGCCTGTTTGTGTTTTCGCATGCAGAAGTATCCATTGTAATGCAGGGCATCAGGTCAGCTGGTGATATTCATAATTTACAAAAAAAACGTGGAGAATATAAGTAACAAATTCAGATTCCAAAGAACACAGGATGAGATGTTACTATCCTTTGTGCAAGCACTTCCAAGAGTTCATGAACAGTGAGCCTGGTGAAATTTGGGGAGCGCATCGTCAGTAGTGAACCTTTGGTTCCTAGGGTGTTTCGGCCTTTTATACTATACACCCTCCCCAAAGGCGGCCAGCGACAGGGTGATCAATCCTACGCTTGCGTCCCATTCCCAATTAGTCATAGGAGTTGCCTTGTTGTTGATAGCCAACATCCCATGGGACTATGCATGGCAGGGGTGTCCTTCTCCCTGAGTCAAGCATTGTTGACTGCATACCTCCCAGCCCTCTCACTTTGGGGCCCAGCTGGGGTCTTTCCTCTTCATCCAGAGCCACTGACTGCTGCCTTCTGCCGCCTCCGATACAGCTTTGATTGCCGAACGCTGGCTCTGGCCCTTAATTCCCAGGTCTCTAAGCAGTCTGGTTGTAGATGTTGCCACAAAACCTCTGCAGCCCACCTCCACTGGTCGGACTTCTGTGTTCCAGCCATGATGCCGTGCTTCGGCAGCTAGATCGGCATAGCGCAGATGTTTTCGCTCATAAGCCTCATCTACTATGTCCTCCCAGGGTACTGTGAGCTCAATGATGAAGACCTTCTTGAGCGAACTGGACCAGAGCACCATGTCAGGTCTTAGGGTGGTGGTTGCGATCTCCGGAGGAAACACAAGTTGCCGGCCAATGTCAGCTAGCATTTTCCAGTCGCGGGCCAAGCGCAGCTGGTCTCGCTCTATTGACAGATAAAACATCTCCATCATGTATCTGCCTTTGTATAAAAATCATAAGAAAAATGTATACATCCCATCAGCCCCACGACGTGGGAGTGCATCTTTCCAAAGTATTGAATGGGTACAAGCAAACTCTAGACCGATTTCCACACCCAGTGTCTCTGTATCAGAGTCAGGATTGCTTGAGGTAAGGCTGATGTACTGCCCTGTAATTATAGGCATGGACCCTTTTGTATTGATTTGAAGCTTTCGTGACTGCAGGAATCCATATTCTTTGGTTCTTTCGGTAAAGTCACATAGGTAGAAAACAAAATCACGACGTTTCGATTACAATACAAGCGGTCGTCCTCAGGCGAAAAAATCCAGTAGCAGAACTGATGAACCAGGAAGAAAATAACGATAGAGCTGTTACAACAAGGGGTTTTATGTTTGAGTTGATGGGGAGAGAGATTAGGGAGAGAGATTAGCATGTCAAAGTTAATGAGCTTGAGTCACCGCATATGGCCGTACATGCGCACAGTAGCAGTGTTAATGGGATGTTAATGGGAGATTAGGGATTAGGGAGATTAGCAAGTTAATGTAAAGTCTATGTGTAACACAAGCTACGGCGCTGGCCGCTGTGCTGTGAGAGGAAGGTGCATAAAAGGCCATGGTGGCTGTGCCAGTGAGACATACAGCCGATAAAACAGCAAGAGCCATCGATACATCGAGACTAAGGGTTCAAAGGCGGCCATGTTAGTGATACCCTAGCCCGTTAATGCAAAGGCATCCAACAGGGCAATGCAACTCAGAGAGTCGGAGGGTAACAGTCAAACGGCAGGACGTTATGACTTAACCTGGTTAAATACAAGCTGCGGCTCTGGCCACTGCGCTGTGAGAGAAAAGCGTGCACAGGGCCATGGTGGCCGTGTCAGTGAGACATACAGCCCATAGAAGAGCAAGAGCCATCGATACATCGAGGCTAAGGGAGCAAAGGCGGCCATGTTAGTGATACCCCAACCTACGTGACTTTACCAAAAGAACCAAAGAGTATGGATACCTGCAGTCACGAAAGCTTAAAATCAAGATTGAAACCCCAGCCAGTTAATGCCAAGGCATCCAAAAGGGCTATGCAACTCAGAGAGTCTGAGGGTTTGGCTGTTACCCTCCGACTCTTTATGCATCAAAAAACATTTCATCTGACTAAGATCTATATCATAGAGGGTCATTGTCTATAACACCTAGCAGTTCACCTGCATTAATTTAAGCGAGCCTGACTGCTGATGAGACACTGCATGCCAAAACCAGTCCAGAGTTTGCTTGCACTGAATGAATACAGTTATGCTATAATTATACAATCCCAAAAGGCCACCGGGCCAATAGATTGTGTACAAAATACTTGTATTATTCACGTGGAGAGACAGATCTATGAGGAAGGCGATGTGTGTGCTTATCTATTTTGTAAATAATTTACAGATCCTCACCAATACACTTCTGGACGAAGGTTTCCCCACATCGTGTTGATCATTGAGGCTAGTTGGCCATACTTAGTTGTGCTGGTCAGTGCGGTTTGCTGAAGGTAAAATCCAGAACTGGTTCACATCACACTCATCACGCAGCTCTCTAATAAATTTGGAGGGTGGGGAGGGAGCCCAGCCGAGGCTGAGAAGCAAGGACATTCCAGTAACGTGAGTAGGAGCAGCCTGGAAGGACGTGTCACCAAACCTAGTTTTAATAATAGATTTTATTTTTAGGAATAGAGATATACTTTTGAAGCTGCGACTGGGAATTTGCGGAGTTAGGAGGTGCTTACATATGTAACGACTCCAGGAAACACTGATCTTGTGATTATCTTTATTGAAGACACGTTCACTTGACAGGCGAAGACCCCGACTCCAACAGCAGCCTCGAGCCTCTCCTCTCGACCCCTTTAAAGCCCAGCATGGCCATCCCTTGACCCTTGGCCACGACCCTTCTCTAGAACCTTCTGAATGGCTCTCGGCCCCTGATCCGCACCTGCTCCCTTCTATCATTTGGCCACAGCCCCTATTCTCGATCCTTGTCGTAGACCCAGATCCTTCCCCTGTCTGTCACTTAACCTGTCATTATCCCTTGTGGTCCCTAGTCTCTTCCCATGCCAATTCCCCTGTCATTACCCCTTGTGACCGTTAGTCCCCTGTACTGTCTTTACACGTATTTGTCAGTTTTGTTCAAAAGAACGTTAAGGATGAAGGTATCCAGGGGGACAAATTAGAGGTGATACAGAGGATTTAATCATGCATTGATATGGAGGCATCAAGGTCAAAGCGGGCGGCCAGGTGGTATAATGGAACAAGAGGCTAGGCGGTCGATGATTACACAGGAGTCAAAGATGGGGAGGATGGTGGCTTGGACTATATAATTACTGGCCAGATTATCAATGTGAAGGACAAGATAACACCTAGATACTTAAAGTTATTGACCTGTTAAGCGGGAGCTCAACGACAATGTCAAGGCAGGGAAATCTAGGTTTGAAATATCCAGAAAACAATGTGACTTTGGATTTGAAGCTTTCGTGACTGCAAGGATTCATATTCTTCAGTTTTTTCGGTAAAGTCAAGTAGGTAAAAAGTAAAAATTAATAAAAGTAAAATAAAATAAAAATCAAGACGTTTCGGAGGCAACACAAGCTTCTGTCTTCAGGTGGAACCGTCACAGCCACGACAGCTGTATCAAGTAAATGAGAGATTACAAGAGCTACCATTCCGAAACGTCGTGATTTTTATTTTATTTTACTTTTATTAATTTAACATTTTTACCTACGTGACTTTACCGAAAAAACCTAAGAAAATGTGGCTTTGGTCTTCACAGCATGGTATATGAATTGATAGAATCTATCGCATGCCCCTTTGCAGGATTCCATGGTCCAGACCAAGGTTCGCATCTCAGGCGAGTTCACCCGTATGAGGGCGACGCTGGATGAAGACGAGAAGGCAGCTCTGGATCGCGTGGACGTGAAGGGGCATGAGCTGCTGTCCCAGATCAAGGAGAACATCGCTCATTACGAGCGTGAGATCAGCAACCTCCAGGCCGCAGCTACGCGCCTGCGCGCTCTGCAGGAGGAGAGGGACTCGCTCACGTTCCTGCAGGTAGAGCACTCAAGGAGCCAGGGCAAGTGCCCCAGTTCGCGTATATTCGTTGCGTTTTTTTAAACATGGCACATGCGATGTAACTCAACGCAAGGATAAAGCATCTTGCATTGCCAATACAATGTATAGCCCATGCATTCTGAAATTAAATGAGGAATCAAGTCCACTGACGTGAATTTGTATATTCTGATAAAAATAGAAATTACTGTTGAAATTCCAATTCATAAATAAACGATTAACACGCAAATCCCTCGAGTTAATCGGTTGGCAATGTATGCAGATGTTGGCATTTAAAATTGTAACCGCATGGTCCTGTAATGTGCAACAGATTGAGACTTCTTCACACTACATTTTAATTAGTAATGTAACCAAATGTAGACCAACCATCAGTCATGCTGAAAATAGAAGTGCTTTTAACTTAAGGAAATCCAGGGGGCTTTGTTTTTCAGCACTGACTGCTGATGAGTCCAATGCCTGCTTCAAAAAATGTTTATCCTGTTAAACTATCGACGTCTGTTTATGCGATTCTCTGGGTGTAATTCACCCTCACAGTGCGTACTTATTTTGAATGTTGGTTCCCAATCACTGCGAATCGACATCGAGTGCTACGGACGCCTCTTCCTGTGACATTGGGTACACAGTGGCAACGGTTTGAGAGGCCACACCTTGCTGTTGAGAACCATCGAGTCCAAACGAGTCGACGGCTTCATCTTGTTTACAACCAACAACACCGGACATATGCGAATCGCTGAGCACAGCCCAGCTCATCGCGTCTACCAATCACCGTGTGGTTAACATGGCTGGAGGTGAACTGACTCGTGCCCCCTTTGTCTGACTCCTGCAGGTTCACCTAAAGGAGACAAACCGGTATGGACTCATGAAGTCACACAAATTAACACATGGGGTGACGCCGTGTGTGGGACATGGGCTGCGTGATTATGATAATGTGTATAATGATGATGTGTGGTAGGATCCTGTGAGTGATGGTGTATATTGATGCTGTGTGATGATGTTGTGCGTGATGATGATGTGTGGTATGATGCTGTGTGAAATGATACTGTATTATGGGACCTTTTTGCCGGTATCATAGTGTAGTGACTGACTCAGAGACACTAAGAGTAGAAGTCGGCCTTAACAGTTCACACTTGGTAACTACGATTCCCAGTCAGGACAGCTAGTAGACTGCCTGACTGGCGACGCTGAGATGGTGAAGATGGAGACGAAGATGAAGACTCTAGCAGCAGGAGCACGACAGGATCCCACTCCACACGACAGCCCCGAGGTCCCCTCCTGGGGCCCCTCTTATACTGTCAGCGTGGCCTGGCTCTGCCCTGGCCACGCCCCTCTTCTGGAACCTACTAGCAGGTTCTCGATATGTCCCTTTAGTGACCCTTCCCCTACATCCATCTCTGATCTATCACGTGACCTGCTGTCAGTCAGGGCTGCTGTAAGCTGCATATCCCATTCCCTGTCAGCAGCCAGAGCTATGCTATGTGTCCGATTCTATGTCACTACAATAGTATGAAAAATAAGAATAGGTTTTACCCTTTCTGGCAATAAAACAGGTGTTAAGATGTTCAAACAGCAATAGCTACCTTTGGCAAGTACTCAAGCCTGCATTAAACCACGCGTACTTGTGATGAACCTGCAAACAAACATGCTCACTGTTCACCTTTGGCGTTCTCTGGTCTGACACTGGTGAGACTAGGCCATAAAGAAGGCTGTCTCTGTTCTAGGCCAATCATATTTAAAGGCATTGCATCACATATAATTATCAGAGAATGTTTGTTTGCTTGATCACCACAAGTACGTGTGGTTAATGCAGATTTGATTCCTTACAAAATATATCTATTTGGTCTTTGAACATCAGAGCACCTAGTTTATTGCCAGAATGGGCAAAACCTATTCTTATTTTTCATAAGATGATGCTGGGTAAGACAGGGCTGTGTGATGCTGTGAGTGATGATGCTGTGTGATTCTGTGTGATGCTGCTGTGAGATGATGCTGTGTGTGTTGGTGTTGTGTAAGACACGGGCTGTGTGAGTCACTGCTGGTTCTGGTCTCACAGGAGAGACACTCAGAAGGGATCTCCACCGTCATCTCCCAGTGAAAAAGACATCGCCTCTATCAGAGCCCTGCAGGGAGCTGTGATCAACCTGCTGGCATTCATGTGTGAGTTCCACGGAATCTTGCTATGTGTGCGTCTGTTATTGTGCATGTACTTTGGTTTGTACATGTATGTTGCGGAGCGGTAGTGTCGTGGTTAGTGCGCTGCGCTACGAACCTGGTGTCCCGAGTGTGAATCCCGCTCACTACACTATCACACACACACACACGAGTGTACATCACTACACTATCACCCACACGAGTGTACATCACGACACTATCACAGGCACACAAGTGTACATCACTACACTATCACACACACACACACACGAGTGTACATCACTAAACTATCACACACATACACGAGTGTACATCATTACACTATCACACACACACGAGTGTACATCACTACACTATCACACACACACGAGTGTACATCACTACACTATCACACACACACACGAGTGTACATCACTACACTATCACACACACACACGAGTGTACATCACTACACTATCACACACACACGAGTGTACATCACTACACTCTCTCACACACACACACACGAGTGTACATCACTACACTATCACACACACACACGAGTGTACATCACTACACTATCACAAACACACACACGAGTGTTCATCACTACACTATCACACACACACACGAGTGTACATCACTACACTATCACACACACACACGAGTGTAAATCACTACACAATCACACACACACGAGTGTACATCACTACACTCTCTCACACACACACACACGAGTGTACATCACTACACTATCACACACACACACGAGTGTACATCACTACACTATCACAAACACACACACGAGTGTTCATCACTACACTATCACACACACACGAGTGTAAATCACTACACAATCACACACACACGAGTGTAAATCACTACACAATCACACACACACGAGTGTACATCACTACACTCTCACACACACACATACACAAGTGTACATCATTACACTATCACACACACACGAGTGTACATCACTACACTATCACACACACGAGTGTACATCACTACACTATCACACACACACACGAGTGTACATCACTACACTTTCACACACACACACCAGTGTACATCACTACACTATCACACACACACACACACGAGTGTAAATCACTACACTATCACACACACACGAGTGTACATCACTGCACTCTCACACACACACACACGAGTGTACATCACTACACTATCACTCACACACGAGTGTACATCAACAACAACAACCGCCATTCGCCACTAAGTGGCGGTGACGTCACCACGACGCTTGTGCCAGGCCAAGTGCACCTTGAGGACACGTGAAGTGTCAAACGCCCGCTGGCAGGAGGTCACGGGGCAGACCCAGCAGGTGCCACGGGTCGACTGACCGAGATGACTGGCTGATGCACCACCTGTGCCACCTACTGTACCAACTTGCTGTGCTTTAGCCACCCGCCGCTCCACTCGTTGTTGTGAGCGTCGCTCCTCCGCCCTCCGTTGTTGTTGGAGGGCGACTGCCTCTAACTGCCCAGTAGCGTCCTTCACGAGCCTCCTCCACTGAGGCCGATCTTGACACCGCTGGTACCAGTCATCGGCAAGTCCACTCGGCTCCACGTCCTCCTGTACCACATCACTCCATCTCTTCTCTAGCCCGTGCCGTGCCCGTTTAGCCCCCTCGATCCGGCCGAACAAAAGCTGTTTAGGCATGCGGTAGCTGGGCATGCGGGCTACATGACCCAGCCAACGCAGCCTTGCCTGCCGGAGGAGCTCACCGATGGGACTTTGCCCAGATCTTTCAAGGATGTGTGAGCTCACACAATCCAGCCTGGTTAAACCCAGGATGGATCATAGGCAGGCCAGCCTAAATGTTTCCAACAGACGAAGATGCTCCATTAGGGGGGTCCACGTTTCGCAAGCGTAGAGAAGGGAGGGAATGACCATGGCCGAGAAGACCTGAAGCTTTGTGCGAAGCGACAGACCAGGTAGCTTCCACACAGCGTTACGCAACCGATGAAAAGATATTGCCGCTCGACTGATTCGGAGTGAGACCTCTGCTGATAAACTGGAGCCGGTCATAAGCACACTGCCCAGGTATGGGAAACTCTCCACTCTCTCCACAACTGCCCCATCACCGATTGGGAGTTGTGGGGGTGGAGTGTCCGATGGTACAAAATACTCAGGCAGGTGCTTAGTTTTGGTGGGGCTGATGGTAAGGCCCCACCTCTTAGTGGCATGCTCCAGTCTCAGCAGCAGCGTCTTCAACTCCTCTTCTGAATGAGCAGCTATTACCAAATCATCGGCATACATAACGTGGTTGACCAATAGGGAGCCATCCCTTGATCGCACCCGGGCGTTGATCAGCCTCCCATTATATCTGTACCAAATGGAAATTCCCCCGTTACAGCTATTGAAGGCTTCACGAACTACGCAGTCGAAATAGATGTTAAATAATGTGGGAGCCAGAGGACATCCCTGTCGCACCCCAAAGTGTACAGGGAAAGGCTCCGACTCCCGGCCACGTAGTTTTACCCGGGCCCGCTCACCATCATGAAGGTCCATAATGATCGTGAGCAGAGGGTCAGGGACTCCGAAAGCACGAAGAATAACCCCGAGCCCAGGCCTACTGATGGTATCATAGGCCTTGACCAGGTCAATAAAGCAGAGATGTAGGTCTTGTTGGAATTCCCTACACCTCTGCTGTAGCAGACGGACAGAAAATATGGCATCTGTACAGGACCGCCTTTTCCTGAAACCGCATTGGGGTTCCGCAAGCCTCTCCTCAGCGTGCCTAGCAAGGCGATGTTGAATAATCCTTGCCAGGACCTTTCCCGGCACACTGAGGAGTGAGATGCCCCTGTAGTTGTTACAGTCTGTGCGGTCCCCCTTCTTAAAGAGGGGGACCACCAGGGCATCCTTCCAATCCTGCGGTACCCGTCCAGCGGTCCAGACTGTTGTTATGATGTCATATAGGGCAGTCTGTGCACAAGCGCCACCCTCCCTCAGCATTTCGCTTGGGAGATCATCTCTGCCCGGTGCCTTTCCTGTTCTCAGACTCCGGATCGCCTTCAGTACTTCCTCAACAGATGGCACCTCAGCTAGCCACTCACAAGGGGTGACCTCCAATATTTGAGGCACCGCAGCCTCAGCAGGGTTATCCCCACTTTGTGCCATGATGTTTTCCTGGCTGAGAGATTTTCCCTCCCCCAGGACCTCACAGAAATGCTCAGCAAATCTGCAAACCTGTTCCTGGGGGTCGAAGATTGGATCACCGTTTTTTCCGCTAATGATAGTAATAGCTGTGGTGCTGCAGGTTACTTTTTTGATGGAGTTAAATAGTGATTTGTGATCGCGGGCCACTGAGGCAAATTCCATCTCCTCAGCAACCCGCGACCACCACCCATCCTTGCAGCGCCTTACGGCTCTCCGAACCTCCGAGCGAAGGCTGCAGTAAACCTCCTCATTCTCTGACGTGGGATGCTGTAGCCGATGAGAGTGGGCCTGTCGCTTTTTCTCAATTAACCTGAACACCTCCTCTGTCAGCCAGGGTTTCTGGGGAGGTCTGGAACGCGTACCCAAAGCAGCCATTGCAGCTGCATGAGTCACAGTCTTAAACCTCGCCCATTTACCCTCGACATCAGGTGGAGTGGGGGACGATGCCAACCCCAGCTGCAAGCGATGATGAAATTCTCGCTTGCAACTTTCATCAGCTAACTGAGACCAGGCCACTTTTGGTTGGAATGGGATCCTGGGTGTACACCCACCACCGGAGTGGAAGAATGGCAGGCGCATCTTACAGATGACTAGTCGATGGTCAGATGGCAGATCAGCTCCAAGGTAGGTCCTGGTGTCAAGGACATGGGCTCGCATCCGCTGGTCCGTCACTATGTAGTCCAGTAGATGTTCTTGCTTGGACCCGGCATGCATCCATGATGTTGTGTGGATGCGCCGATGCCGGAAGAGCGTGTTGGTAATTACAAGCCCATGGGCTGCACAAAAATCTAGCAGCCTCCTACCGTTGTTATTGAGCTGATCTGGCCCATGCCTTCCAATCACTCCAGACCAGGTGCCAGCATCATGACCAACTCGGGCATTGAAGTCACCCAACAAGATGACTCTGTCAAGAGTGGCCACTTTAGCCAGCACCTGTGACAGGAGATCATAGAAAGCGTCCGACTCATCGGCTTTGCCTGCATCCCTCCACGGATGTTCGTCTTCGGTGGGGGCATAAGTAACCACGACCACCACTCCTCGCCTCCGGTTGATGGGAAGGCGAGCCCAAAGTATCCTGGGGCTTACAGCTTCCCACACCTCACCGCCACGCTCCCACGCCCCCTTCATTCTTTTGTTCAGAAGAAGAGCCACACCCTGTTGTTTGGCAGTCTCCTGCCCCGAGTAGAGGACTGTCCACCCCTTATGGTGGCAGGAGCCAGAACCGGTCCACCGGACCTCCTGAATGCCGCAGAGATCCAGGTGGTACCGGTCCAGCTCCCGACAAAGGAGTGGCAGCCTCTCCTCCGCAGTGAGCGTTAGAACATTCCACGTGGCCATCCGCAATGGTTTTTTGTTGTTTCTGGAGGAGCCCCGAGGGTGGAGATTCAATCTCCTGGCTCCGCCAAATGGGGTTTGGCCAGGAGACGTCATAAAAGCCTGACCCCCCCGGGGCCTCCGGCACAAGCTTATTAGTTACAGGTTTATGTTTAATTCGTGGTTTCGTGGTAATTTATTGAAGGTGGAGGGGTTACCAGCCCCTCGCACCCGTCCAGAGCCCCCGTTTAGCCACTGTGGTGGTCACAGACGCCATGAGGGGAGAGGCCAATGGGCATTGTCCCTCCCCCCACAGCACTGCCCACGACGGCACCGCGAGGAGGTAGGAGGTTGTTTTGCCGGACCGAGAGTGTACATCACTACACTATCACACACACATATACACACGAGTGTACATCACTACACTATCACACACAGTGTACATCACTACACGATCACACACACGAGTGTACATCACTCCACAATCACACACACACACGAGTGTACATCACTACACTATG